GAAAATGTCCCTGAGAGCCTTTGCCATGTTGAGGGCAGGAAAACACTGTGCCCCAGCTGCCAGGCCTGCAGGCCCTCTGTCAGAGATCCAGATTGGTGTAACAGGGCAGGAACTCAGGCAGGGACAGGTGAAATATGTTGCCAAGCCCTGAGAAGTGCTTTTGTACTTACAGTTGCAGCCCAGGTCACCCCGAGGGAGGAGCACAAGGCCAAGCACAGGATCCCCCAGCGAGCCATGGTGAGGGCACACCTGAGGAGACAGTGCCCAGCTGGAGAGCTGGTATATATATAGTGAGGGGGCAGGTGTGTGTCAATGTCATGGGCCAGCCTTGGCTCTGAGGTGAACCAGAGGAGCCTCCACTCACTTGTCCTTGAGTAGCCTGAGGCCAGTCCCTGGCTGGGGTAGAACTGGCATTGCCGTGTGAGAGCCCTGCAGGTGCTGCTTTTGTGGGTTGGAGGCCAAACCAAAGGAAATCACTCAGTGTAAGAAAACTCCAGAAAACATAAACAACACTGACAAGAAGCCTCATCCAAGTGCAGGAGGCTGAAATCACATTAAGCCGCGCAATAAAACGTAATCAGCAACCTTTGAGAATCCTTGTGCTCAGAACACACTGGGGAATGCACAAGACTCAGAAAATGACAGCAATCCTTAAAGATGATTCCATCCAACATCAGCCAGACTGCTCACCAAGTTCACACGTAGTCCAGAATTTCTATCTTCACTTTATAGTCACTCCCATAACAAAGCTTGAAGTCTTCCTCCTCCTCCTCACCACCCTCATCTCTCTGCAGGCTCATCTGCCAGCTGCTCTTTGACATCCTCACTGCTTGTTGTATTTGCCAAGAAGACAGGGGAATGGACAGGACATAAACAACAGGCTTCAAAATCTGTCTCTAACAGAACACTCAGCTGCCAGTGCAATACCTTTGCACATTCAATCACAGAGCTGGCAGAACATCTGCCATAAGGGGGTAAGGCTCCTTATGGAAAGTATAGATGGATTCCTGAGAGAAGGAAAAAAGGAAAGGACCCATATGCATTTTATGGTGTAACTGGAGCTTTCCCATGAACCTGCAAAAATGAAGCTTGTGCTCCAGATTTCAGAAGAGAAGGAACTCAGCCAGGTGAGCAATGGGTTGGTATTACTTTGGCCCAAACTCCCTTATCACATACTGGTATCATGAAAGATTCTCGTGACACCACTGAGGAAAGAACATTTAAATGTAAAAAACCCTTCCAAGCTGCATTCAGTGGCACACTGACAGAGGTGCTCCACCCTGGCTGGCTGAGAAACCTCAGGCACCTGGTCCTGATCTGTATGAAATGTATTTGAGCATTGAAGGCTTCACCCTCTGCATTTGTCCTCCTGTAGCTACTGCATCTACTCAGTGGTATAGGGGCAAAGCAAGAGGGAAATGCAGGTTCCAGTTCAATCTAGAAATTCCTTTCCCTTTAAAAAGTGCTGATGAAGGTCAACAGTGAGAAAATGAAAGATGTTTCTTGTGGGAGATCTCACAGATTGTTGTTCTGGAAAAGCCAACTGGGGCCAGGTGGTCACAGGCCACAGGAACACATGGCATCGACTCCTGCAAACCCTGCCCTTGGTTCCAGCTCACTGGAAGCAGCAGGAGGTCAGCTCCAGTCTGGGAGCTCCCTCACCCTGGCCCTGGCCCCCTCTAGGGTTGGGCTCCCCACCCTCCAGCCCCTCTGCATGGAGGATCTCCACATGCACAGCAGAATCTCCACATGCACACACAACCTCTGTTCTCCTCCCTGTGTCTGCAGCATGGCCCCAGTGTCTCGCACCAGCCCAGGGTTCTCCACACACATGAACCCAGCAGCTCCAGCACAGCCACTGACCCCACTGTGGGGTACCAGGGCCAGGCTCTGCCTTGGTGTGTGAATGGGAGCATGTGGAGGATGAGGCTTGTGGGCAGTTGTGCTCCTTGCCCTGCCCTGCTTGGAGCTGGAGTTCCCCAGCCTGGTTCAGCCTGGTGTATGCCCAAAAACCCGTGTAGAATCACTTCCCACGTGGATTTATTTTGCCCCAGTCAGTTCCTGAGTGATGATCAGCAACAGGTCAGGATTGGTTTGCATTCACCTGTTGCACTTGCAGCTGTCTAAGAGCTGGTTGGTATGAGCAGGGACATTGATGGTAACATGGGGATATCCAGAGGACAGGTCAGGATTGGTGCTGTCCTGCCTGGGACCACATGGGCAATGAGGGAAAACAACCCCAGAGCCAGCAGGCTCAGAGGGGAGAGACTGGGCCCTGGCTGTCAACAGCTTCCCTGGACATTGGGGTGTCACAGGTCAGGGGACACACACTGCCCATAGATGTCCCTTCCTGTCTGACCTTAAGGTTAGTGACAAAATCCTGTCACGGCAAACACAAGGAGAACCAGAGTCACTCAGTTACAAGCAAGCCTTTAATTGATCTTTAAAAGGGGTTTTTTCTTAAGTTCAGAACATCAACCCCGACTGGGTGATGTTGGCAACCTGGGGCAGGCTCCGATAGACCGAGTTCCAGAAGGTTACAAACCGGGATCTCAGGTCCTGCTTCACGGAGTTCTTGTCCATGCTGTCGTTGATTTCCAGGTAGTAAGTGCCCTGGCTGCTGTAGGCTGGCCAGGAAACGGGCACGTCTGAATTCCCTGTGTTGGGATCACTGGGAAAAAAGAGACATACAAGTTCAGTTTTATCATGGAAGCTTGTGGATAAAGCTTTAAGTGAGTGCACACAGAGTGTTTGACA